TTCTGGCTGTGTTGCATTTCTCAAAAATCATTTTTTATCCACAATATGTTTTGAGCCAAACCATATTATCTGAATCTGGTTTTTGCCTTGTTGTCAGATATAGGAAGGCCATCTACAGAGGGAAGTCTCTGGTACTCAAACTAAAATCTGCTTTACCTTTTTTAAAGACCTTAATATATTTTACTGACAGAAGCAATTCAAATGACAAATATATATATACATAAAAGGTATGAGAATATGTGTAACCTCAGTAGTAATCAAGAAAATGTAAGCCAAAGGAAGATAAGTTTCACCCATTATCTGGCCAAAATGGAAACTATTAATATCTAAAGTGAGAAAATTTTTTCATCTACTGTGGGTGAGAATATACATTAGTACAGTCTTTCCGAGGGACAATTTGGCAGATCTGCCCAGATCTAAAATGAAGCATTCCTTTTACAGCTTTGAAAATGTCCATCTCTGGTTAGCACTGTGATTGTTTCTCCAGTGTTCATTCTGTGCCTGCCCTGCTCTGTGGAAGCCATGTGGTTCCATGGGTGGGCTGCTATTGGCCTAAGCCAATCAGTATAATCCAGTTTCCCTTTGCTCTCATTATCAATTCAGGGAAGGGAATTTAACAGAGGCCCAAGATCCAAGCACATCAGTGCTCGCCATTCCCCTGGCTACTGTGATTGATTCAGGGATGACCAGTATCCAAATTAGGCTCAATGACAGTGAAGTGCTATTTAATGGCTGGGGAAGCTCCTTGCCTCCTCCTCTAGAAACAAATGAGGAGGCATGTGGCTCCAGGAGTCTAAGCTCTCAATGTTATATTATCTAAACAGATTTTTAAAATTAATTCCAGCTCTAAATAATCATAGTCATATGTTTATTTCAACACTCATGGCTCTGTTATTTATTAAGTGACAGTGAGTCAATTCCTTAAGTTTTCTAAGTCTATTATCTTGGCTATAAAACATGAATAACATTCCTACTTTCATAGGGTTATTGTTACTATTGTCATTCTAGAAATCACGGCGCTAGATGATGTGGAACAAAAATAGATAAATAAGGCTCCCATCTTTATAGATACTGAGAATTTAGTGAGGCAGTAACACTGGGTATTGTTCTTGCCTGTGTACCTTCAGACTCTTCTGGTGGGTTGAAGAGCAACTTAACACCTTTCAATAAATGGCTTTTCTAGGTAAAGGGGAAAAAAAACTAGTTGGGAGGATAGGTATACATGTAAACAAAAGGAGTGACAAGCCAAGGAAGATAACTAAAAATAGGTTGGGGAGGCCAGGCATGGTGGCTCATGCCTGTAATTCTAGCACTTTGGGAGGCTGAGGCGGGAGGATCGTTTGAGCTCAGGAGCTAAAGACCAGCCTGGGCAACATAGTGACATCCTGTGTCTATAAAAACTATAAAAATAAAATAATAAAACAGTTTGAGGAGAGAAGTGACCAATTAAAACATGATTTTGGGGGGTCAAGGGATAGTTTTAAATCCTAGCAGCAAGATTAATGACGATATCCTTCCAGGTCTGGAGCAGATGAGGTAGCTGGATGGAGGTAAACTGATAGGAAAGCTGTTCTCCGGACTGACAGGAAACCCTACCCTAGCTTAGGGATAGGAAAACATGCTGAATTGAACCTTCTTATATGTTCATGTTAATCAACAAGACATTTTCCAAAATTTTACCGGAGTTTCACCAGACAATACATTTTCCAAAATTTTACCTTCTTCACTTCTACAGGAGATGACCCTGAGTGCCAAAGTAGGGAATATAGAAACTAGGAAAGTGCAATGGGCAAAACTAAATTTTCACTGAAAACAAAGGAACATGCTGTTTTGTGGATGGGGTTTTTTTTTTTAAAGAAAAATTTTCAGAATATATTCAGCATCAGATGTCCATAAATATCTATAAACACAAAGCTCTAAACCACAAGTGATAACATAAGGTACTTACTTCTCAGAGGGAATATTAAGAAAAAATATGCTGTACGTCAACTACATTTTCAAGTTATTTCATGTCTGAAGCTATCAAGAGAAAAAATAAGACCCTTGAGAAAACAATGTGAGAACATAATTTTTTATTCATATAGAGGAGTGTTAAGCACCTGCTTCTAATGCAAAAACAATGCAAAACAACAGAGACAAATCCATTTAGTCCAATTCACTAAGAGTAGCCTAAAGCCTTAGGAGCAGTGCTCTGTTGCTTCATTAATTCCCTGCCCATGGTTCAGTTATATAGAGGAGGGCGTAGAAAACAAATCGACCATATTTTTCAGCCTAGTCTGATATGTAGTGTATTACAGGTCCAGCCTTACACTGCAGCACAGCTAAGATAAAGGAACCAATAATGAGAGTCACATAAGAAAACACATTTTCTATGTTCCATTTCAATGGGAAGTCAGATATTCTAAGCAAGCAAGGGATTTTAAGTCAGGAAAACCAGGTTCTGTCACAACTTTTACTAGTTAGTCTTTACAAGACATGTTATTTTATGACCATGCTGCTTATATCACCGGCTATACAAGAAAATTAGCTTGCCACCCCTACCTCCAAAGTTTTCCAGAAGAAGAATTAACAGATTTCAAACTTATTTGCTAAATACCATATAACAGTGTATATATTATTTATAGTAACTTTAATTAAATAAATCTAAATTAAAAGCATATATGGCACTCAGTAAGATAATATTTATTGTTAAAACATACATACACACAGCAAGCCCACTGCTCCCACCAGTACATACACATATTCCCTATTAGTGTGTGACTACATCAGATCCTTACAAAGAGACACTAAATAACCTTAAACTTAAAAAAAGGATCATTTGGTTCAATATCTATTATTGCTGATGATTATGATTACATCAACAAGAATCACTGAAACCAATTTGCAGAATCTTCTTTTTCTAGTAGTTCTGCCACGGTTCTAATTAGATACGATCCTCAAGTCGTAACTTTGACATAGTAAATAATTTTTACTTCCTTAATTCTAAAGTTCAAAGGTGTTTTAATAGGCAAAAGATATCAAAAGTTAGCATAAAAATTGGAAGGTAATTGATCCTAGAACCTCAAACATTGAGATCTTTTCACACTGATCTTCACAGAAAAAAAGTATTGAAGTAAGCTGAAGCGCCATTTGACTTGAAGTATTACCTGCTTGCCATGCTGTAGAATCTATTGGCAGTTTTTTTTAAAGTAAAAATAAAATAATAACGTTTTAATGTGAAGGCTATTAATGCTGACACCCTAGTTTTTTCAGCATGTTAGCCATACCAGTGTAGTCAAAAACCTGGTCACAGATTAAAAGTAGAGCTTTTAAATCAAGACCAAATTTTAATTTAACCACCACCTATACGCTTGTACATTGAAACCCCTTATTTGCCTCCTTTTGAATGTCCTACTGTTTTGAGGCTAAGTTCCTCAGAGTAATAAAGTTCTATTTAAACTCTTCGGCTAAGTTCTAGTTAATGGCTTTTGGGGAAAAAAGCAACACACTATTAATTGGCTAAGGCAAAAAACTCACACAAATTCTGGTTCCCTAAACAACCACTCTCTAAAATAATAAATGCAGAAATCAGGAACCTGTAGCCAACTTGGTTTATTCCTCTCACCTAAAATGTTTTGGATTCATACCTTGGAAAAGATGTGTGGAATGTAGGTAAATGATTTTGCACCGTGGTGAAAAGCATTTGAGAAGGCCTTAGTGTTTGAGGTCACAAGGAGACAGGAACTTCTCTGGATTCTAGTATCACCCTTAAACTACCAGGGGACAAAAGTGGAGTCCATAATAATGAACATTCCCTCCCCAGAGCCTCTTCAGCTGGGCAGTTCAATAGCAATTGGTCCACAGAAGAGTAAATCAGTCCTGATCAATTCTGTATGGAACATTAGCACCAGAATCTTACAATACAGAGAACTACCTAATGCCAGAGTTGTGGTAAGTCATTCAAAAGAGAAGGTTTCTCTGTCAGGCTTGCATTAGTGTGGTTCTTAGAAGATCAGCATAGTGGCCAGAATCCTATAATATAATGATAGAACATCAACAATAATTACTGAAACCAAAGATACACATCTACCCACGGACAGCAGTTACATATTCCGTTAATATCTAGAGGCAAGTAAGATTTTTAAGTGTGTTTTCATAGCTAAATTTGGGTAAAGCAAACAGTTTCTCTTACTGATCCTGGTTTCTTCAATTTTCTTCAACTGATTGTAATTTTTATCCCCTACCCCCACCAAACTCTCTCCTAAATAAATATACGCATTTATACAGAAAACACACAAAGTTCAATGCCTGAGTAACATGGCCTTTTTATAACATTTTTCTCTGTTCCCCTTTTTTACACACTTTTAATCATGGGTGACTTAAAAAACAATCTCCTAACAGTAAATACACATTCGTGTAACAAGAACCATATCACTGTTCTTCCACTGGATATATCTTGATATAGCATCAGTGGATGTGAAAGGTGATGGGATAACAGTTAGGGAGGGGCACTTGTTCAATCTTCCTTGGAAACATTTGGAAGTCTTTGTCTTTACTTCTTCTAGAAGGCCTTTCTCAGAAACTGCAGGTAGCTCAGAAGGAAATGATCAAAACTATGAATCTCTCCTCTTGGGATATCAGCACTCTTGCTGCAAGAAGATGTCATCTCAAGTGCAAGAGCAGCATCTAAAAGCACAGAAGAATATACCACCAACTATTTTACATAAAGTCTAAAATTTAATTTCTTTCTCATTTGCTTTCTCACACATATATATATTGATAATATTGGTGGGCACTATGTAGCTTGAGAAAACCTTATATTTCAATTAGTTGTATCAAAAGTAAATTTTTAAGACAATCTTTAGAATAATTACTGATCAAAACTATCATGTGTAACGCATATCTCCTTTTAATAACTAATTTTGACAAAACACATGCAAGTTTTGCAGAGCCTGTAGTTTATACAGTTTGTATGAATTAGTTTTTCATTGTTCAACATGAATTAACTCAAATGAATGCATTGCAAAGACTCTTCCAGGGCCTTGAAAGAACCTGTGCAAATGAAAGATCAAAACTAAAGCTTTGTTTACTTCATAGTAAATTTACCTTTGATGTCGCAGATGCTCAAAATGCTTTGTAAAGGTTAATAGATTAATTAATACACTTATGGGCTGGGCGTGGTAGCTCATTCCTGTAATCCCAGCACTTTGGGAGGCCAAGACGGGTGAATGATCTAAGGTCAGGAGTTTGAGACCAGCCTGACCAACATGGTGAAACCCCATCTGTACTAAATATACAAAAATTAGCTGTGTGTGGTGACACACACCTGTGATCCCAGCTACTTGGGAGGCTGACACATGAGGATCACTTGAACCCAGGAGGCGGAGGTTGCAGTAAGCCAAGATTGTACCACTGCACTCCAACCTGGATGACAGAGCGAGATACTGTCTCAAAAAAAAAAAAAAATACAGTTATGAGAATGTGGGATTCTATCATCATAATATTTTACATAGTTAATGAGATATTAAACATTGAATGACTTACTTGAACAAATAAATTATCACTCAAAAGCATCTGACTGGCCAAGCACAGTGGCTCATACCTCTAATTCTAGCACTTTGGGAGGCCAAGGTGGGTAGATCACTCGAGCTCAGAGGCTCAAGGCCAGCCCAGGCAACATGGCGAAACCCCATCTCTACCAAAAATACAAAAAATTAGTGGGGTGTTGTGTCACACACCTGTGGTCCCAGCTACTCGGGAGGCGGGGGCAGGAGGATTGCTTCTGCCTAGGAGGCAGAAGTCACAGTCAGCCAAGATTATGCTACTGCACTCCAGCCTGGGCAATGGAGTGAGATCCCATTAAAAAAAAAAAAAAAAAAAAAAAAAAAGTTTGATTTTTGTTTTGTTTTTTTTAATACTAAAAAGTTATATTTAAAAGGAAAGCAATCATTTGGTACAGCATTGATCTCTCTTTATTGGGAAAAGTATTGCCAAGTGTAGCATGCACTGTATAACAATGTTTTGGTCAACAATGGGCTGCATATAAAATGGTGGTCCCATAAGGTTATCATGAAGCTGAAAATTCTTACTGCCTAGTGATATCGCAGCCATGATAACACCATAGTGCAATGCATTATCTTTTCTATGTTTTGATATATGAATACTTACCACTGTGCTACAATTGCCTACAGTAGTCAGTATAGTAACATGCTGTACAGGTTTGTAGCCTAGAAGCAATAGGCTATACCATGTAGCCGAGGAGTATAGCGGATGATATAATCTAGAATTGTATAAGTAGACTATGATGTTAGCATAACAGTGAAATCACCTAAGGATGCATCTGTCAGAACATTAAGCGAGGCGGGATTATAATCAGTCACTCTTGCTTTACGGGCCCACAGGGCAAATGACTGATAAGGGTGACAGGTATGTATCTTTCTTGAGCACTTGTCACCCTAAATTCACATGACTATATCCAATAAAATACAGGATTTTAGTTTAGGAGCAAGAGATATACACTCTATGAAAAGGGGTATCATCCCAGAGATAAATACTACTTCTGGTTTTCTAAGTGGCACAACTCTCTTTATCAGAAATTCTCATAAAATCAATCATTGGAGAATGTTTCAGCTGAAAAAATTAGTCTTCAGCAAGCCACAAAATATTACCTGTGAAAGGCTGCACAGCCTTAAGCATGGAAAATCAGACCTACCCAGTTCAGAACCAAAATGATTCTCAGTGCTGGTGCTCCATTTGAGGCAAATCAGCCCCTGAATCATCTGACAGGGGAAGTCCTGATACCTATAAATTAATAATAGAGCATCATAGGTTCTCAGTAATTGCAAAAGTTCCACTTCCTCAAAATTTCAATTCTATTTGTTCAAATATCAGATGTTTAGAACTAACTATTCATTCAAAGCTCAAGTTGCCTACATGGAAAAGGGTGAAGTAAGGGGATGTTATTCTTTTCCTTTTTTATTCCCCAAATTACTGCTGAGTGGATGTTATTCTTTGATCCTAGCTTATGCATATGTTAAAAGATACTTCTGATCTGCTATGACACTGTAAGCCCACTACAACCCATCTCTTCTACTTATTACCAAAATATAAAAACAAAAACCTGTTGGAACCATCATACAAAGACTTTGAAGCAGCCCTTATAACTCTGCCACATGAAGTAAAGGAAAACATACTTGAAATGAATGAAGGGATAGGAATATTTAGCAGAGAAATAGTAGCCACAAAAGAGAGCCAAATGTATATTTTAGGACTAAAGAGTACAGTATCTGAAATTTTAAAATTTCACTGAATGGGCTTAATAGCAGAATGAAGATGATAAAGTAAAAAATAAGAGAACTTGAGAATAGATGAATAGAAATGGCCCAATCTGAAGAATAGAAAGAAAAGTGATTAGGAAAAAGTGAACAGAGTCTCAGGAACCTATGAGAAAATACTAAACAGTCTACCATACATATCATTAGACTCTCAGAAGGAGAGGTGAGAGACTATGGCAGAAAAAAATTATTTCAAAAAACGATGACCAACAACTGCCCAAATCTGGTACAATACTTAAGTTTACAGATTCAAGAAGGCTGGAAAACCCCAAACAGGACAAACACAAAGAAAACTATGTCTAGATACATCATATTTAAGCTAATGAAAAGATAAAAATTAAATCTTGAAAGCAGCTATAGGAAAATGAAACACTACATATAGGGAAACAACTCAAATGCCTGACAATTTCCCACCAGAAATTACAGAGATCAGAAGACAGAAGAATCACATCTTTATAGTGCTGGGAGGAAAACAAAAACCAAAACATGTCAACTCAAATTCCCTATCCAATAAAACATATTTCCAGAATTAAAGTAAAATAAAGTCATTCTCAAATGAAGAAAAACTAAGAATATTTGTCACCATCAGACCTGCTCTGCAAGAAATGCTAAAGGAAGTTTTTCAGGCTGAAGGAAAAAAATACCAGAGGAAAACTGGAATCTAGGGAACAAGAGAGACCAACAGAAATGGTAACAGCTAGGTAAATATAAAAGACAACTTTTTTCTCATAAATTGTTTAAAATGTTTGTGACTGTTTAAAACAAAACATATAATGTATTAGGCTTCTGAAGGTATGCAGATGTAGTACATATGAAGTTGTAACATAAATTGCAAACTGGGGAGAAGGGAATACGTTTTCCACTTTTTTGTTATTAATTATTTATCAAGAGAAACTATTTCTTATACCACATACTAATGTTTCATAGTTCAGGAACACAGATGAGTGACAAACTTCTAGGTAATTCAACCCAAAGAAATTCTTTGTACTCCAAAATCACTTTGTACTCTGAAAGATACCAGCCTTCCTCAACTTCTCCAAATCTTTCACAAAATCATAATTTCTGTAGAAATCTGCATATGTCTTCTTTCTCAGTTCAGCCACAGCAATCTTACAGACAGCTGCAACCCCCAGGGACACAATAAAGGCTCCAATAATATGAAATCACAGACGTTGGTCAGAAGACCACACATCTGAGGTTTTGTCAAAGCACTGGAAGCCACGGTAGTTACTGTCTTTGATAGGTGTGTCAACCTCAACACCAACGTCTTTCCTGGATAATGGAGAAATGGATGGCCAGTTCCTGCTTTTTATTTCGAGGGGTACAATGTAGACTATGAAAAATTACTGATGTATATTGTAATTCCTCAAGCAATCACTAAAAAAATATATAAACAGATATTGCTGAAAAAATACTAAAAATATTCAAAAACAAAAGAAAACTGAAAAGGAAAAACAGAGGAACAAACAGAAAACAAACAATAAAAAGATGGGACTAGATCCAAAAATATCAATTATCACAGTAAATGTCAACTGTCTAAACATTCTATGGTCAACAGGATTGTAAAGCTATGCCCTTAAGATTCCTGTCCATAGCTAGTTAATCAAACTAATTTCAGTACTGATATGAGGGGACTTTATACATAGAATAAATGTTACTAATTAGCTGACTAGGCGGGCCCAGTGTAATCATGTGAGCTCTTAGCATCAGAGTGAGTCAGAGATGAGGCAGAAGTAGTGGTCAAAGAGATTCAAGTCTAAGAGAGATTTGACCACTGTTGCTGGCTTTGAAGACGAAGACAGAGGAAGTGGGCCATGAGCCAAGGAATGTGAGTGGCTTCTAGAAGCTGAGAACAACCCCTAGCTGTCAGCCAACAAGGAAATGGGGACTTCTGCCCAACAACCATATGAAACTAAATTACCCAAACAACCTAAGTGAGCCTGGAAATGGTTTCTCCCCTAATGCCTCCAGAAAATAATGCAGCCCTGCCGACACCTTGATTTCCACCTGTGAGACTCATGCAGAGAAACAGCTGTGCCTAACTCAGAAGCTATGAGATAATAAATGGATATTAATTTAGTATATAAGTAGTCCCCCCTTATCCATGAAGGACATGTTCCAAGGTGCCCAGTGGGTGCCTGAAACCTCAGATATTACCAAGCCCTAAATATAGAGTATTATGGTTTTTTGATCTGAAAGCCTAGACAGCTACTAAGTAATAAAAGAGCAGGTAGCATAAGTATACAGCATGGATATACTGGACAATGAGAGGATTCATGTCCCCAGCAGAACAGAGCCGGACAGCTTGAGATTTCATCAGGCTATTCAGAATGGTGTGCAATTTAAAACTTAAGAACCATTTATTTCTGGAATTTCCCATTTAACATTTTCAGACCACAGTTGACCACAGGTAACTGAAACTGCAGAAAACAAAATTACAGATAAGGGGGAATACCATATCTCTAAGGTAGCAGCAATAATAAACAAATATACATTCCAATTAAAAGGCAAAGATTGACAGAATGGATACAAAGGAAAGCTCCTATTTATATGCTGTCTTCAAAAGAAACACTTTAAATATAAACATAAAAACCAGACAGGGTGAAAGTAAATGAAAGCAAAAAGATTTACTATGCAAACATACATATAAGAAGTTTGGAATGGTTAAGGTATAGACCACTACCAAAGATAAAGAGAGGCATTTCATAATGATAAAAGGACAACGTATCAGAAAGACAAAACAATTATGTGCAAATACCTAGTAATAGAGATTTAAAATACAAAAAGCAGCCAGGTATGGTGGCTCACACCTATAATCCCAGCTACTCAGGAGGCTCAGAAGGAGGCCAACAGTTTGAGCAACACAGCAAGGCCAGTCACAACAACAGAGCAAGACCCCATCTCTCAAAATAAAAAAGAAAAAAATCAGCTGGGTGTGGTGACCTGTGCCTGTAGTTTTAGTTACTCAGGAGGCTGAGATGGGAAGATAACTTCAGCCCAGGAGTTCAAGGTTGCAGTGAATTATGATCATGCCACTGTACTCTAGCCTGGGCAACAGAGTGAGACCCCATTTCTAAAGAAAATTAATAAAATAATAAAATACATGAAGCAAAAATAAATAGATATAGGCTAGGTGTGGTAGCTCATGCCTGTAATCCCAGCACTTTGGGAGGTGGAGGCAGGTGGATCATTTGAGCTCAGAAGGGCAAGACCAGCCTGGGCAACAAAGCGAGACTCTGTCTTGAAATAAATAATTAAATTAAATAAAAGTAAACAGACATAAGAGAGAAATAGGCAATTCAACAACTTAATAAAAGATTTTAACAGTACTCTTTCAAGAACTGATAGACCTAAACAAAAAAAATTAAGAGCATAGATGATCTGAAGAATACTGTACTACTAACCATCTTGATATAATTATACATTTATAGAACAATTAATCAAACAACAAAGAATATACATTTTTTCAAGGGAAAAAGGTCAATCACCAAGATGAACCATAGACCATAAGACATGTCTCACTGAATCTAAAAAAATCAAGATCACACTGAGTGTATTCTCTGACCACAATGGAATTAAATTACAAATTAATCAATAATAAGCTATTAGGGAACCTCAAATACCTGCTTATTAAACAACATTTTTAAATAATTCATAGGTCAGAGAAGAAATTACAAATGGGAAAATTAAGGGAAATTTTAAAATGTTTGGACTAACCTTAATGTTAAAACATGACACAGATATCTTTTTTTAAAAAAAATAAATTAAAGGTTAGATATATGCAAAATAATTAATCAAATAAGTAAATATACATAGAATAACATACAGCTAAATTTCTCACTCTCAAAGAAGAGAGTAGTAAACTAGACCAAACTGTGTTGTTGGGTTAGAATTAGAGGTATCTTTGTAGATTTTAATAAGCATAGAAATGAAATACAATATATCAAAAGCTGTGGGATAAAGGTAAAGCAGTGCTTAGAGGAAAATGCATTGCTTTACATGCTTACATTAGCAAAAAAAAAAAAAAAAAAAAAAAAAAAAATCTAAGTGACCAAGTGATAGGTTTCTTTAAGAACCTAGAAAAATTGAGCAGAATAAACCCAAAGTAAGTAAAAGGGAAAAACTAAGAGGAGACATCAACAAAATAGGGAATTGACAGACAACAGAGGAAATTAACAATGCCAAAGGCTTGATTTTGTTGAAAACCACAACAAAATTGACAAACTCCTAATTATACTGATCAAGAAAAAGAAAGTGAACACAATATAATAAAAATAAAGAATAATCATCACAGTATTTACAGATATTAAAAGGACAATAAGAGGCCAGGTGCAGTGGCTCATGCCTGTAATCCAAGCACTTTGGGAGACTGAGGCAGGTGTACCACTTGAGATTAGAAGTTTGAGACCAGCCTAGCCAATATGGCAAAACCCCATCTCTACTAGAAATACAAAAATTAGCCAGGTATGGTGGCTCACAGCTGTAATCCCAGTAATTTGGGAGGCTGAGGCAGGAGAATCACTTGAGCCCAGGAGGTAGAGCTTGCAGTGGGTTGAGATTTTGCCACTGTACTCCAGCCTGGGTGACAGAGCAAGACTCTGTCTCAAAAACAAAAAACAAAACAAAAAACAAAACAAAAAGACAATAAGAGAATACTATGAACAATGTCATGCCAACATATTTTTTAAATTGTATGACATGAATCAAAGGATTAAAAAATACGACCTACCAAAAGAGACCCAAGAAGAAACAGAAAATCCGAATAGCTCTATATCTTTTAAAGAAATTGAAATCATTGCCGGGCACAGAGGTTTATGCCTGTAATCCCAGCACTTTGGGAGGCCGAGGCGGGTGGATCACCTGAGGTCAGGAGTTGAGACCAGCCTGACCAACATGGAGAAACCCAGTCTCTACTAAAATTACAAAATTAGCCAGGCGTGGTGGTGCATGCCTGTAATCCCAGCTACTTGAGGCAGGAGAATTGCTTGAACTCAGGAGGCAAAGGCTGCCATGAGTCGAGATCGGGCCATTGCACTCAAGCCTGGGCAACAAGAGCAAACTCTGTCTCAAAAAAAAAGAAAAAAGAAATTGAAATTGTTATCCAAAATCTTCCCCAAAATAAAATTCTTGGGACAGATGGCTTCACCAGAGAATTCTATCAATCATTCAAGGAACAAATAACACCAGCTTATGAAACTTTTTCAGGAAATAAAGAGAGACCTCTGCTCAACTTGTTTTATGAAGATAACAAAACCTTGATGTTAAAACATGACAAACGTATCTTTTTTAAAAAAAGGAAATTATAGTAGAACAGGAGGTTAGATATATATAAAATAATTAATCAAATAAGCACATATATTAAATTATACATGGAATAACATACAGGTAAATTTCTCATTGTCAAAGAAGAGAATAGTAAACTAGACCAAACTCTGGGTGTTGGATTAGAATTAGAGGCATCTTTGTAGATTTTGGTAACTACAGGTAGAAATAGAAATAAACTCGGCCGGGTGCAGTGGCTCATGTCTGTAATCCCAGCAATTTGGGAGGCGGAGGCAGCCGGATCACGAAGTCAGGAGATCGAGACCATCCTGGCTATCACTGTGAAACCCCGTCTCTACTAAAAATACAAAAAATTAGCCAGGCATCGTGGCATACGCCTGTAGTCCCAGCTATTCGGGAGGCTGAGACAGGAGAATTGCTTGAACCCGGGAGGCGGAGGTTGCAGTGAGCTGAGATTGCGTCACAGCACACCAGCCTGGGTGACAGAGTGAGACTTCATCTTAGAAAAATTAATAGATAAATAAATAGAAATAAACTCATAGGAAATGTGTATATGTATGTGCATATGTCTATGTACCTAGCTCTGTCCACTAAGAGGACCTTAGAACGATGACTCCCCCCAAATCAATGAACACGCCTAGAGCCCGGATCTTGACTTCTAAATATGATTATCTACAAAAGGAAACTAGGGATCCTTGGAGAAATGGCTGATTCCAGGCTGGTACAAATCAATCTGCATTACCTGTTGCACCAGATGGCAAGGAATTCCTCAAAGAATGATGAGG